CGCAGTTGGGTAGGCCTTGTGTGTCATACTTTCCAAATCCTGTGCCAGCTCTTGCAGGCTCTCCCCTTTAGCACGGACTCTCGTTCTAAACCTAGCCCTGTAAACTTTGGACTGATTTTGAGTTCCATACCTGATTTCTAGAGCAGCTACCAGTGCTCTATAGTTGTGTCTGTCGTCTGCTGACAACTGTCCAAGTATTTCCAGTGGTTGTCCCTTCAGGCTTGTTGCCAGGTGCACTGCTTTCTGCTCCTCTGTCCATCCATTCATTTCTGCCAGGAGCTCAAATTGAGCCCTATATGCGTTCCATCGGATTACTGTGGCTTCCTTTGTACTAGATCATCCCTATTGCTGACACTTATGTCCGGAGTGTGAATTCTGTCAGGACTGAAGATGTCTGCATTAAGGTTTAGCTGCAGGGTCTGGAAGAGCTTCCTGTTGTCTGGGTCTGATTAGGTCTATGGCTAATATATCCTACCTGTGTAAAAGATAATAAATCGTCCTTTAATGTATTTAATTCACTTTAAGATTTACTAATCTTTTCCATTTGTACTTCTTGCCATTGTTGCTGACTTTCTTGTAGTTGCTGCTGACTTCCCCACAACTGTTGGAGACTTCTTACCTGTTTCTTTTTTCGTTCTTCTTGTTTCTTTTCCTCCAACAACTGCTGTAATCTCTCTTCTTGTTTCTTTTCTCGTTCTTCTTGTTTATTTTCTTTCTCCTCCAACCACTGCTGTAGTCTCTCTTCTTGTTTCTTTTGCTGTTCTTGTATTGCTGCCATCAAATCTGCTAAGTCGTAGTTTGATTTAGCACTTCTCGTTTCCATCTTCTTTTTTTCTTTTCCATCCCACTTCTGACACCAATTCGTTGCGTATCTGCTTGTTTGATAATTTCCGGTATAAATTATTTCTGAGGAACTTCAGCGATACAAGTCCCTTCTTGATTAAACCAGTTTATTCTTTCTGGATACAAACTTTCAGTATACAGTAATTTCACAATCAGTACGTTTCTCGTCACTTTAAACTTAACTACTTTTACAATACACGCTATAAATCACAGCGATTCACAATCTCGATAATTTTGCTTTCTACGAGTGCAAAATACTAGCTCGAAACAGAATCGTAAATCACCCGGAACTCTCTTCATTCATTACCGCAGGCTTTCTCTGCCAGGATTATATACCAACGAAGCGGGTGTCTCCCCGATCATTCATGACCATTCGAGAAAATCATCACGTGTTACCAGAGTCACGTGACTTCCGATGTCGTAACAATATTAATAAAGAGAAAAATATTTTTAAAATTCTGCGTAAAGCTATCTAGGCATAGCTATTCCTAATTTTTAACTGATAGGCTAGAGGTAAAGAAGCTAGTCTAAAATCCATCCCCAACTCTTGTTTAATGGAATAGTGGGAGTTGACCCATTTTTACAGCACTGTACTCCTCCAAAATGCAAAGCACGTTTTTACGGCGAAAACTGGCGATCGACCAATCTTCTCAATCCGTATCCGGGCACACTAACCGTAAGGTACAGAGAATACCAACGGATGCCTCCTGCATTAATTTTTTTATTACTTTAAACAAAAAAAAATCGTACTTTAAAATATTTGTTTTTATAAGGACGCTTTCAATCGACAAGTATGCTATTTATATATTTCGGTGGTAGTCTGTGAAATTTAAAAATAATATTTCTTTACGATTAACTTATGATAGACATATTAGACATTAACTTCCAACACAGGAATACACGAAACAATAATCACCACTTTTAATCCAAAACTTGCTATTTTTATTCTGTATCACTTAAAATACAACCTTTTGTGTTGACGTATATACAACACTAAAAACAAGGTTTCCCTTGAGAGAGGATAAACGTAATTAGTATAAAATATCGAGGAAGGCACTGAGGAATAGTTTTATTTGATACTAGATTTTTAATTAAAAATATAATGTCCGATTAACTTACATATTTGAAATAAAATAAACTTTGTTGTAAAAGTTCGAGACACGGTAAGGTTTGTAGTAATTTCTTTCTTCTTTCTATATTTTACGAACTATGTTCAAGTAATCGAAATTATTATTTTTTTTATTCTGAAGAGTCTATAGTGTCACATTTTAACCCTAATCAATTACAATGACACACAAAACATTCTGTCTGTCAGATTAGTTGATCTAGGTGAATCAAGTTCAACAGTTTTTCGCAAATTTTGCAACTGTACATGAAAATACACATGATTTATTGAGTCATTAGTTTTATGCTTAGTTATTTGCAGTTGTTTACGATAAAACAACATGATAACGCGTGCGAGCACATACACACAATATACCTTACGTTCTAATTTAATATATTTTTAAAGATATAAACTTAACGATTCAGTTTTAAACAACTTACATTTAACTCTTCTGTTTAGGTTATTTAAATATCCCTTAATAACTGAGAAGTTATTTTTTAGAATTCTGTTTCACGAACACATATATTCCACATTTCATACACCAAACAACCAAAAACTTATGTTTGAAAGCTATCTACTGTTAATATTCGTATGTTTTCTCTACCATTTAAATCGGTTATAAATAATTTTGTCAGCAATTTCAGGATCTTCTAGATGTTTAGAATATTTAATTTTGACAGTTACAGCTACATATTCGACACTTCAGTGGTTTTGCATGAAATATTCCTCATATATTATTTTGTACAAAACGTTGTATTTTTATTTTGTTTTTTACAATTCATGTGCGCTTCTTCTACAAACTTATCACAAGTGTACCCGCCTTAATTTACACCTCAATAAACATCACAATCATTGCTTAAGAATATTCTTAGCTTAGGACTGGCACAGATGTTAGAAACGTAAATATACGAACTCAGGAAAGAAATAGACTAGACAGGTTTACTAATATTTTAGACCTGAGAAGAAAAAAAAACACGTAATATGCATAGTAACCAATTTACAGTCTCTTAAACGCGGTAAAACATATCCAATTAAAAGGCAAGACATTTTTAAGCAATTCTAAAGGCACCACAGTGTTTTTTCTTGTTTAAACTTTGCCTAATGCAGAACCAGCCTGGTTTTTATTAGTCTCTCTCTCTATGTTACAGAACCACTTGTTTAATGGAAAACCATTTGCTTAATTAGACCTGTTTAAATTTCATTAAATTCTCAAATTCTTCGTTTATCTTAACCTTTTACCATCACAAATGTTCATTTTGCAAGCTTATTTAAACATAAGACAGCTGTTTTTTTTTTATAAACTTCCTATTTGAAAACTAGGAGTTTATTTGATGTATATTATTGATTGAAATAATCACTTAAACAACAAAAAACCAATGAAGTCGCTAACTTTACAAAACACGATTTTGCATGTATATAATATCACTTGCGATAATTGACTTTGAGTTAAGGTATACGGACACCTACGACAAATCTGTTTGAATAAAATGTCCAAGTGTCTTAGCAACATCACAAAATAGTTGTATACGTGTTAGAACAAACATTTTACCTTAAATCCTACAACAACATCTTATAAAAATTTCTAAGTAACAACAAGTTTTCTGCATATGTATATTGCAACGTACATCTCATATTACATCCTTCTTACATTTCTTTTCGATATAAAACGGAGTTGTTAAACAGGACAACACATTTTTGTTTGTTTTTTTATCAAAAGTTTTGCAATTTTTCGGTGCTTTGGATGAGCAAAAAATTAACCAGTAAGTACAAGAGTTTGGAGATTTCCGGATGTTAAGTCACGAATACGCCCATGAACTATTTTACACCAGTCGTACACAGAATTTACTGTCGTAACAATATCCTTGGCTTCTAGAAGAACATAAAACGTACTATTGTATAGCCTTGTAACAAATCTCAAATAAAGTATTAATAAGATCTTCACACGAAAAGTAACAGAAAACACGTGTTGTAGATTCGGCAATGCTCTTTCAACACATCGAACGAAAACACAAGAGATACAGTTATTCTATTTTAGCTGTATATACAATGTCGTATGTTACGTTATACTTTTATAACTTAAAGTTATGATATCCATTCGTTGTTACGCATACAGTGGTAACACAATAAATTCAAGCAAAACCTATATAATTAACCTTGTTATTGAAAGGATATACGACCAGTACAGTATTAGTATTATAACTGGGCTTTGTATTCGCCAAGAGCTTAATATAAAATGGAACTTTCAGTCTATTACGCCTTGCTATCGACGTCATTTTACTAATAACATGACTTTTTGTGTTGGTTAATAGCACAGGTATAGGTCAACTGTCAAGTTCAACATGGCAAAAAATGTGCTATGTGATGTGTTAGAAAATATAGGTTATTAACCCTCTCACAGCGTCTACCCTTTACTGCGCATGTCACGAGGTTTTAATTTTAATTAAAGTGTTTACGTTATGTAACTTTGCATAGTTCAACATTTTTATTTTACTACAATAAAGACAATTTATCATGAAACCTGTGTTACTTTCTCCTACTTAAACAGTTTTAGTTAATCAATTCTCCTATGAAATACAAGAAATATGTTGTTTTTTCCCTATTTTAGTCAGTTATATTAATGGCTGCGGGGGGCAATTGTCAGGTTACCGAAAAATTTACTACTCGTGTTTTAAGCGTTCTTTCTGTGCTTGTAATACTTGTTTCGTCATTTTTATCATTACAATGATTATGCATGAAGCAAACAAAACTACAAAAGTACATCAATTCTAAACAAACTACACATAAAAACGAAACATTGGAGAATCAAACAGTAACTCAAAAGTAATTTCATTTTACTATTTTATAGTGTTAAACAGTTGTATATAGGCTAAGGGCCTCACTGATAAACTGTTCCGTTATTTGATGTGGCCAGAAACAGGTGATCCAGGAGCTTCTTGTTCTTCTAATGTGCTTGAGGCAGTAGACAAACGTTCTTGGCTCTGACATACAATGAACCTTGGATTCCTTGCCTAGATTACCAAAATGAGTTACGTTATTGCTAAAATTTAACATACACTGTATTACAGAAGACACTACAATGCTAACGTTTGAGAATAACCATTAGAGGAAACCAACATGATAAGCACATAAAAAAAAACAATAATGTATTAGCAAACAATTTCCAGGGAAGAGAAGTGTTAACATTTGGTATATTATATGAATAGCTGTTGTCAAACATAAGGCAGCACATTTTCTGAAATACAAAACTATCTTTATTAATATTATCATAATTGTTTTAAGATATCATATTATTACTATTTATTAACAATTAAACTAGAAAACAATGACATAAATCCTTTCAAATCTATAGCCACATACTGTGTAGATAAATATATTTTAAAAAAGCGAAATAACCTTTACGACATTTAACGCGTAAATAATTATTTGTAAGATGTACAAACAGTATATTTACATTATAATTAAGTTATTGAAATGTATTTTCTGAGGCTATTAATTCATGCTGTTAGAAAACAGTAAATTTATTTGAAATATTTTTAGCTGAACATGTAGTAATTCCACGTACTGCATCAGTTTAAGTAAAGCGTTAATTTCTTCTCAGAAATTAGTTCTCTATTTATTATTATTAATTATTATTTCTCTATGTTAGAATGTGTTTGAATCAAACTCACATGCAGTTTGATACACAAAACGTGGATGTTGTCTATGGATTCCCCATTGGTAGTTCTAGATTTTATTTGCCTGTTTTCGCTTATCTTTTACAAAAGTACAGAATTCTGAGTCTTAATATATGTAACTGAACAAATCTAACTTGTTGTTTCAAGATTTTCAAAGAGAAGATATGTGGTAACCATACCTGACGTGTTTCAAATCTTCGTCTGCTCTCTTCTGTTCACTAAAATATGTGGCTCTTTTTAATTTTTGGCCATAGATCTAAGATAGTTATGATGGTGCTTTAGAATTCATAAAGTGGCCTCTAAATTAAGACCACTTTATTTTCTTTAAGAGACTTACCAGAAAAGGGTGTATTTATAACATGAAATATTAGTTTTAGGAACATGAAGAACTAGGACTTCTTTAATCCAAACGAAAATTAGAATTTCCTACTTTGTTAAAACATAACACAATTCTGTACGATAACCGTATTTACACTTACATTTCTATGCCAAAGAAGGATGCCAATCTTTGAATCCTGTAACTAGTTGACATTTTACAAATATATTAGTTATTTTAAGAATTAACTTAATTGTTTCCTTCAGGACTTCACGCAAGGGCCGTTCTTAATTACCATAATCATCACCAGTACAGAAACATTGGTTTAATGTGGTTTTCTTCCTCTGAAAATCTCTTGCTGATTTTTTTCTTAACTTCAGTGAGCTTTATTCTAATTTCGCGTTTTACTTTCCATACATTTGTCAGTTATTTTTTGCAACCACCCCCGTCTTTACATCACCATAATCAAGAGTGGCAGTGACTATCAACAGAATATAAAGTGACGAAACAATTATTTTGATTAATTGATTGATTTGTTCGATTACTCGTTTGAACTGCATAATTATTATATGGTGTTGTAAGTTCCACTATAATATTTTATGAAACGTTAATTAATTACAAAATTATTTAATCTAGGTTGCTTGATGTGATTCAAAACGGATAGTGAACGTAAATTACGCTGCCTCAAAATCATTTCCATATCAAAATAAACAAAAATCTATGCGGGCTGTCAAAAGTGACTAAACATTTTATATTTTTAGCATGATTTCCCCTTTTTACATGTTTTAAGATAAGCAACAACGTAATCTAAGTGTTGAACAATTGTGTATGAAACACCTATGCCCTAATTTGACCTTGACCTATAATTTTCCGGTCAAAATTCACGCATTCAATCTTGCGATATCCTGTCCAGAAGACGGAGAAGGCCAAAAAACGTAGTGTGTGTGTGTGTGTGTGTGTGTGAGGGGGGTAAAATAAATCGTATTTAACGAGTAATGCTACCATTACTACTAATCACCGTCTTGTTGGTGCTTCTGGTCATGATGGTTATGGTAATGTTGAGGAATATAATAATGATGATTGTCACTACTAATCACCGTCTTGTTGGTGCTTCTGGTCATGATGGTTGTGGCAATGTTGAGGAATATAATAATGATGATTGTCATTGGTCGGTGATCAATTACTTGTTTTAAAACTGATGGACTAGAGATAAGGTAGCTAGGCAACGGCACCCACCGCCCACCATTTGGATACTTCTGTCTAATGAAATCATGGGATTTAATAATCACTCTTATACAGCACCACGGCCTAAAAAGCGCGGATCTCGTTTTTGAGGGTTGCGAAGCATGAATAATCGGATTCACAGTGCGGGCACGCTAATCCCGGGTTAACTTGAACGGTCCGTTAGTCTGGTGATCAACTTATGACTTTATTGATGAATATACAACATTTTGATAACACGAGTTATTTCGCACACACAAGTATTGTTTCTCTGGTTTAGACTTTTCTGTATTAACAGAATTAAAATCTTGCTTCAGGATTAGATCTGTTTATTTAATCTATTCATGTGGAAAGTTTATCAGATTCTTTCACAAACTAATACTTAATTTACAAATTAACGACCATAACCAATATGTAAGCTAATTTTCTCTGACATTTTTTTCTTAGTGGAAAAAACAGATGGTAAATTAGTTGTTACCAGTTAAGAAACGAGGAGTTAAATAGCCAATTAAACCTGATAAAGATATAGTATTTATTAATGGTCTGTAAAATTTAATACTTCTCATTTATAACAACTTTATCGTTATAACAAAATGTATGTAAAATAATACTAGCAAATACTGTGTATATTATGTTTAGAATTTCAAGACCAGGCTATTAACCCTTTGACTGCGGAATTTTTGCGAGCCGTACACCGTATAAAGAACTGACATTCAACTCCCAGAGGTGGATTGTACCCTATACGGCGAATCAACAGTCAATGGGTTGATAAAGAAATTTAACCATGAGGCTTATTATGATCCAGAAATTACTATATATATGTTGAAATAGCAGATCCTGGAATACCCAGTTATACATAAAAACATAGTTACTTGCACACAAAATGACCACCTACTTCGAGAACATCTTAGGAATTCTGTTCCATAGAATATCAATTCTTATCAACTATATCAGCATAATTATGGAGGGGGGAGTGCTTTGTGAATGAACTGTAAATGCTTTGAGTTTGTTACACAAAAGAGTACTGTTCAGTTTTCGCCCAAAAGACAAGGTTCTAATAATTAGTTAACCAAACATACTATGGATAGACTGCGAAACCACTCTCATACCGAATTGTTTATCATTGCTCACTCATACCGAATTGTTTACCATTAGAACTATGAAGAGTGGTTTCGCAGTCTATCCATAGTATGTTTGGTTAACTAAAGTGAGCAATCATAGTTCTAATGATAAACAATTCGGTATGAGAGTGGTTTCGCAGTCTATCCATAGTATGTTTGGTTAACTAAAGTGAGCAATCATAATTCTAATGATAAACAATTCGGTATGAGAGTGGTTTCGCAGTCTATCCATACTATGTTTGGTTAACTAAAGTGAGCAATCATAGTTCTAATTAGTTAACCAAACATACTATGGATAGACTGCGAAACCACTCTCATACCGAATTGTTTATCAAGTGAGCTATCATAGTTCTAATGATAAACAATTCGGTATGAGAATGGTTTCGCAGTCTATCCATAGTATGTTTGGTTAACTAAAGTGAGCTATCATAGTTCTAATGATAAACAATTCGGTATGAGAGCGGTTTCGCAGTCTATCCATAGTATGTTTGGTGTTAACTAAAGTGAACAATCATAGTTCTAATGATAAACAATTCGGTACGAGAGTGGTTTCGCAGTCTATCCATAGTATGTTTGGTTAACTAAAGTGAACATTCATAGTTCTAATGATAAACAATTCGGTATGAGAGTGGTTTCGCAGTCTATCCATAGTATGTTTGGTGTTAACTAAAGTGAACAATCATAGTTCTAATGGTAAACAATTGTGTGCAAAACTGGATTCGCAGTTTAACCGTAATATACATTTTCAAAGTAATGTGTTTGTTTGCCGTTAAGTAGAAATGCTGCACAATAGACTGTGTTCTGCCCAGTGAGAGTATCGAGCACCGATTTTAACGTTATAAGCCCTCTCACTTACCGCTGAGCCACTGAGGAGCGGGGTGGGGAAAACTAACGTGAGCTACCAATTCTAATAATGCTAACAACTGTTTGTGAAAGAGGTTTCTTAACAGGACTATGTCACGTTGTCTTTAAACTAACGTGACGTACCAGTTCTAATAATGCTGACAATTCTGTGTGAAAGTGGTTTCGTAATCTCACTATAGTATGTTTCTTTAAACTAAGGTGAGTCACCAATTCTAATAATGCTGACAATTCTGTGTGAAAGTGGTTTCGTAATCTCACTATGGTATGTTTTCTTTAAACTAAGGTGAGTCACCAATTCTCTAACTATTCTGTGTGAAAGTGGTTTCGTAATCTCACTATAGTATGTTTTCTTTAAACTAAGGTGAGTCACCAATTCTAATAATGCTGACAATTCTGTGTGAAAGTGGTTTCGCAATCCAACTATGGCATGTGCTCTTTAAACTAATGTGAACTACCAGTTCTAATAATGCTAACAATTCTGTGTGAAAGTGGTTTCGTAATCTAACTATGGCATGTTTTCTTTAAACTAATGTGAACTACCAGTTCTAATAATGCTAACAATTCTGTGTGAAAGTGGTTTCGTAATCTAACTATGGCATGTTTTCTTTAATCTAACACAGTTCATGATGCAGCATGACAGATTTTCCAAAAGCTAAGTTAACATTTATTTAGCATGTTACGAAAAAAGGCGTGGATTATGTACAACTTCTACCAATCATATACACTCTTCCACAAAACTTTAGTTTTAGATAAAGTGAAACCTACAGTAAAATACATCAATAGGAAAAACGTGTAACGTTGCATGCGGTCTTAATCTTCAACACCCGCCACTAGTTTGGGCTGCAGTGGAAAAAAAAATGATTAATCCACGTTCCATGCTTTCAAACACACACACACACACAAACGTTGATTCACGTTGTTGTTTATCAATGAAATAAGTTTTAGAAAGTTACTAAAAATTACTAAAACACTTAAAGTTAATGGGTGTAATACTAATTGTAAACTTTTATCAGTTTTTTAAGGATATCAATTTCCTTAGTAGCATTAGACGATTGTTAGTTTGTTGTAGAGCAAAGACACATTGGGCTATATACTGTATCCACCGCGGGAAATCGAACTCCGGATTTTAGTGTTGTCAGTCCGTAGTTTTACCACTAACTCATCATTAGAGGAACATTATAAGTATGTTTTATGGAATTAAAAATATAGTACTATTTTTAAAAAAACAACAAGAACAATAAAACAAACTCAACTTAACTCTTAAATGTTTGGAAAGATGTGCTGCATTTTATTTAGTGCCATCTGTTAGCATTGTTTGAATCTCTTTTGACATGAAATTATATAAATAAAACTACGAATAATAACAAGCTAAACACATGCACCATATAATTATAACATTTAATAAGTGCAATAAATACAGAATATATTGTTGGGGTTACAAGACTTCATAACGGTAGGGTATTGGAGTATTACCTCGACAATTTGAAATCCTATTGGGTATTCTTGGTAATGTCGTCAGATGGAGGGCTGGTAGCCAAACTGGTATACCTTCTAAGTAGGAAGGGAACGAAACCTAGTGTGGCTTTCAGCTGAGAATGTTGGGTTAAACAAAAATAAATACAAGGACAACATAATGTAATAAACAAAACAATTACAAAAAATAAAGGCATTAATAACACATGCACAAAAACAAAATAAATCATTCACAAATTGGACAAACATGATTGGATAATAACAGAGGACGCCATATAAAAATACAAAGGCGATATAAAGTCTAAACTCTAATACAGAGGACATCGAGAACGCTTGGCTTAGATACTGATGCGTGACGTCACACAGCGTGATCGAACGCTCACGTGACGTATCGAGCTTGATATAGTAACAACAATCTCGTGAACTGCTTGAGAAACATAATGGAAACCAATTTTTGATCCTCTGATTTTAAACTTCATTTTGAAATATATAACACTTGTTTGTTATTAAGCACAAAGCTACACAATGGGCTATTTTGTTCTGTGTTTATCGTAGGTATCGAAATTTGATTTTTAGCATTATAAACTTACCGCTGAGCCACCAGTTGGCATTCTTACATAGGGTATTCATACTACGAAACTTGAGTCTCGTAGATTAAAATAACTAAGTTGTATTGAGCCGTTCCAAAATAATATCACAAAACAATTACAAGCATACAGTTTCCATTTTACATCATGCAATATTCACGAAAAAGTCTTTAGTATACCGTATTTTTCGGAATATAAGACGCACCCTTATTTTGAAGACAAAGTTTTATAATTTATTTTTTTATTATTTAGGGAGCATTATAAATAGTTATGTTTCTAAAAAAAAAATACTATCGTTATAAATAACACATTCAATTGAACTAAACTATGCATGGCTATTTAAATATATTTACATATGGCTTGTGTATATTGTATATATATACATATATATATTATTCATACCTTCAGTGTATAGAACGCGAGCAGATTTTGACATCAAAAAAGTGCGTCTTATACACCGAACAATACGGTAATTGTTCTTATCGAATAATAGAATTAAAAGTATAAGGAAAGCAAGCTGTTACAAGAAACATTCTTGGTATAAAAAATAACCAGAACAAGTACAATACAAAAGATAGGAAATCCCTAAAGTAAATACCTGTTTCAATGTATCTTCTAAAATGCATATAACATGAAAAATTCAGTATTTTAAACTTGCATGCATTATATTTTCATATGACTAGTCCTATAGCTATAGTGGATTGTTCTAACGCGGCATTAATGCTCGGGTTTGAAATATTTTAATTGCTTACTTGATAATAATGAGTTATAATTTTACTCTGTTAATATTGACGTTATTCATATTATTAATTATCGTACAACTTTATTTTTGTAATTCAAATACACCTTAAAAACAAAAAACAGATGTACAATAATTAACATATTGGATAAACGATGTTTGAAAGACACGTCTTATGCTAATATAGTTTGTTACCTAGGGGTTTTTCTCTTTTCTTCGATTATTTTGCAATATGGTCATTCTTAATCTTTGTGTAGTTATTGAAACGTATCTTGGTACAAGTTTTAATGGCTGTCTCAAGAAGTGAAACACTAGTTTTGTTGGAAACAGGAAAATTATCGTTCATTTGTTATTGTTTCTCATTAGATGACAGTTTGTTATTACCTTTGTCAAGTTTTTAACCGTTTCAAGCATTATGTCAGCGGCAATTTTATTACTATTTGTGTTTGTTGATAGTCTATTGACTTCTCTGACTTGAGATGACTCGTACAACTTTCAGTTTGAAGTCAAAAACTAAGAAATCTGTCTTACGCACCCAAGATTCCTGTTGTGTACGTGAACCTTAGCAAAAACGAAGGAAGGTAAATGTTAACTTCTAAACTTCATTTTACAGTTCCGGAGTAATTGTTGAGTTTCAACATCCAACTGAGATGTGTACGTGAAAAGAAGGTAGGTAAATGTTAACTTCTAAACTTCATTTTACAGTTCCGGAGTAATTGTTGAGTTTCAACATCCAACTGAGATGTTTGTTAGAGCTCAATGGAACAGTAACACTACCTTTTGTTCTTCTATTTTATGAACGTTTAGTAGTAAGTTGGAGAAACGTGATTATGGTTAAATATTCAATTGCACAAAATTATGTTTTTCTTCCCTTTTCCTTAATTCAGATTTTAATTCTCTTTTCTTTAGCAATGTTCTGTTTTTGGAAATTCTGTGGCCAAGCTATTTTGGCTTGTTTTAAAACTTTGAAGAAAATGCGTCTGTCCCCAGTATAGAAGTTTTGTACTCAACATTACTTATAATAAACCGATCATCGAAATGATCAAAGCACACCATTCTAAGGAGATAAATCATGACAACTTTTCCTTACCCATTTCGATCTAAGAAGTCGAACACGTACTTACTAGGCATTCTCGATCCAAGAAG